ATATCCCAATCTATCCCAGTTTCCCCATTCCCAGTCCCTCCCAGTTTATCCCAGTTTCCCATTTTCCTCATCCCAGTCTCTCCCAGTATATCCCAGTCTAACCCAGTTTCCCCAGTTTCCTCTCCCAGTCCATCCCAGTTTCCCCATTTCCCCATCCCAGTCCATCCCAGTATCCCCATTCCTAGTCTCTCCCAGTCCATCCCAGTACCCCCAGTCCCCATATCCAGTTTATCCCAGTATCTCCCAGTCTAACCCAGTTCCCATTCCCAGTCCATCCCGGTCCATCCTAGTCCCTCCCAGTCCCTCCCAGTTTCCCCAATCCCCCTTCCCAGTTCCCCCAGTCCCCATTCCCAGTATATCCCAGTCCCTCCCAGTATCCCTAGTCCATTCCCAGTCTCTCCCAGTATATCCCAGTCTAACCCAGTTCCCCCATTTCTCCATTCCCAGTATAACCCAGTATCTCCCAGTTTCCCCAGTATCCCCATTTCCCCATTCCCAGTCTCTCCCAGTCTCTCCCAGTCCATCCCAGTCCATTCCCAGTCTCTCCCAGTATCTCCCAGTCTAACCCAGTTTCCCCATTTCCCCATTCCCAGTCACTCCCAGTCCCTCCCAGTCCATTCCCAGTCTCTCCCAGTCCATCCCAGTCTAACCCAGAATCCCCCAGTCCCCCATTCCCAGTCCATCCCAGTCTAACCCAGTATCTCCCAGTCCATCCCAGTCCATCCCAGTCCATTCCCAGTATCTCCCAGTCCATCCCAGTTCCCCCAGTCCATCCCAGTATATCCCAGTCTCTCCCAGTCCATCCCAGTCTCTCCCAGTCTCTCCCAGTCCATCCCAGTCCATCCCAGTCTCTCCCAGTCCATCCCAGTCCATCCCAGTCCATCCCAGTCCATCCCAGTCTCTCCCAGTCCATCCCAGTCTAACCCAGTTTCCCCATTCCCAGTCCATTCCCAGTCTCTCCCAGTCCGTCCCAGTATCCCCCAGTCCCCATTCCCAGTTTATCCCAGTTTATCCCAGTATCTCCCAGTCTAACCCAGTTTCCCCCATTCCCAGTCCATTCCCAGTCTCTTCCAGTCCATCCCAGTCCATTCCCAGTCCATCCCAGTATCCCCAGTTTCCTCTCCCAGTCCATCCCAGTCCATTCCCAGTATCTCCCAGTTTATCCCAGTCTAACCCAGTTTCCCCCGCAGGTTCCGGTTTCAGCCCCCGCGGAGGGGGCGGGGCCAGAGGAGGGGGCGTGGCCCGCGGAGGGGGCGGGGCCCGCGGCGGCCCCAGGGGGCGTGGCCGAGGCCGAGGGGGCGGGGCCAGGGGCGGGGCCCGCGGCGGCTTCAAAGGCGGGAAAAAAGTGACGGTGGAGCCGCATCGGCACGAGGGTAACTGGGGATACTGGGATATACTGGGATATACTGGGAATGGGG